TCCTTGTGTCTTTTTTCGTGTTGGTCCCCCCCTCCCCCAGCCCCCCCTTTTTTTAGTTGATCCCCCTCTTTTTCTCCCTCCCTTATGAGCCTGGATTGCTGAATTCTTCTGGAAAGGGTGAGTACGAAATGTTTTGTGGTTTTTTTAAACACGTTTGCTCAAGAGCACAATGTTCTCGATTTGTTCGTTGCACTGTGTAAAATGGAAAGGGGAGGGAAATGACAGGCTGGGTGGCAGGAATTAAGCAGCTTTTGTGCATTTTAATGGCTAACTTTATTCTAGGTTTGTGCCAACTGCTCTAAAAGTTAAACCTGTTTTTTTCTTCTTTCTTTCGACCAACAAGACTTCTCCTATTCCTCTACCTTCTATTATACATTATATAATACTAGGAATTGATAACTGTCTGGTGGTGTGAAATGGTAGATGTGCACCTAAATCAGGGCTCCTCCTGAGACTTCTGAGCTTAGAAAGGTGTCATTGACCCCCAACCCAAATTCTTAGGAATGTATATGAAATGAAGTCAATAAATAGCAATATGTAATCACCATTTAGTAAGCATCAATCACCATCATTCGGTGGGTAGGGAAAGAGGGGTGTTAGTATTATTATTTTGACATTGTAGAAAATAATTGTTTAAAAAGTGAAACTTTGCACCTGTATACAATTTTTAGCAACAAAGCAGCATGGACTGAGAGCACCATGGAATTATTTTATTAAATACAGACATTCCTCATTGCCTGTCCCCTTTATTTCTGAGGCTCACAGGTCCTGATTTAAATAAAAACACACATGCTATACCACATATACTTTGTTTTGTTTGCTAGGCCCTTTTCAACCCTCTTTGGTTTTAATGTACTTTTTTGTGTTCCATTCAGATTCAAAAGGTAGATGTGCTGGGATTGTTCTTGTGTTCAGATGCTTGAGCAAAGTTTACAATAATAGTGAATTCTTTTGACTGTGTAAAATGCTTCTGATCACTCCAGAATGAAAACGGATAGCTTTCAGTTGGCGGAAAAGAGGTTGTGCACTAAATTTCTTCCCTAGGTGAATGCGTCTTTAGAGCTGTTTTGTTGTGCGTTTTCTTGGGTGGATATTTGCCATGACAGGTATATGGAAACTCCAGTTTCAGAAGCAGTTATGCTCGTGAACACCAGTTGCTAAGGAGCACTGGGTTGGGGGAGGCTATTGCCTGCTTGCAGCCTTCCAAAAGACATCTGGCTGGCTGCTGGAGGAAGCAGGATGTTGGACTTCATGGGCCCTTCAGTCTGCTGCTGCAAGCGCCTCCTTTGTGCTGCATTTACTAAACTACTATCCTCAACTCCTTTACTCTTTACATTCAAAAGATTCAGAATGTTTCACTAATGCCCTAAAGCTAAGGATGTTAGCTAGAGCAACATACATGGCTGTTCTTTTGGCATGTCAGAAGCAGTGGTATTAACAATGACACTATGGTCATTTTCCATTGAGCAAGTTGTGGTGTGAAGCTGGGTTTGCACTGTGGTGGCCTGTGTGGTGTGTGCATAAATAGTTCGTGTAAGGTCGGGCTTAGTGGTAAACTATTTAGTAACTTCAATGATGCTTTGCTAGCTTAGATCATTTTTAGAGACATTCTCCAAATGTGTGTCTGTGCCTCTGCATCACCAGTTTTAAATATTATTTTAGTATTATTATTCAGTCTTTATATAAAAGCTATTGAGCATCCCTTGCCTTTTTCGGGCCACTGTATTACTTTCACAATGCCTCTGTTATTATGCCATGAACCTTCAGTTTTACTTACCCACCCAATGCTACCAGTCTTTTGATTTAAACCAGTTTCAGGTAAGCAGTGACTTCTGTTTAAGGAATGCACCTTTGATCCTTAATATGTTTTAGCTCGTTGGTCCAACTTGTAGGTTACAATAGCAGTACAACCACCCTTCAAATATGTGATTAAAAAAAGAGAAAGAAATGGATCTCCAAATGCATGTTTAAGCTAAAAGTCTGTCCCAGATCTGAGAACATTGAAAACTATTTCATTAATGACCCTGAGAGCATAGTAGAGAAGGAACAGGAGTCTGTATTCCTCCTTATAATAGAGTTAATGTGAATGTTATGGACATGTTGCCAGAGGAAGCAATGCGTTGGCTGTTTGCTCAGCAGGAGTCAAAGCCAAGAAGAACTGGGGTATCTCTACATCATGAGTTCACTCACTGTGATCATTCTGAGTGAGGAGGAAAGCTATGCAGTTGTGTTTATCAGCTGTGTGCACATCACAGATATATGCTTCTCCTTCCTGCATAGCCCTTGCAGAAAGTACCTAATGTTCCCGTGAATTTAGCCTTAATTGCAAGTATTGTGTGATCAGATGTCTCTTGGGAGTTTAGTAAGAGTGAAAATGCTTTGCCCCTGTTTTAACCAGTCACAATTTTCTATGCTTCCCCCATCCCCGCATAATGTATGATTTCCTTTATGTTCACGTAGAGGTGCCACCTGTCCTATATAATACGGGATTGTTCCGTATTCCAGTGTAAAATTCAACCTCCTGTGTTGATACAGTTTTGTCCTGTATTTCAGGTCTTCTCTCTCTCTGCCAAGTGCATGTGCTTGAAAAGGGTGTATGAAAAGTCTTGTATTTAAGCTCTGGGTACCCAAGCACAGACATGTTTACAAATTTGTGTGTGTGCACGCGGACGTGCATGTGTCACAAATTCCAGAGGGGCCATCCCGTTAGGCAGCAATAGATTGTGGTGGGTTGCTTTGAAGTCACTTCAGCACAGATGAAAAAAAGAAATCGTCCACCAATGGCCCCTATCCTGTCCTGTATTTTGCCAGAGCACAGGTAGCAACCCTAATATTCAGTGCTGTCAATTTTTACAGCATTTGGAAGTGCACATTTAAATATTCCTCCTATTTGTGATCTTCAGAAGCAAGTGTCATTAATTATGTAGCCAAAACAACACCATCCATTCATAAGAAGCAGGTATCAGCTGGCTTGGGGAAACTCCACAGCCTGCAGAAATACATTTTAAAAGACCCTAAAAGTGGGGTGGGGGGGAGAGAGAACAGCCCATTGAGAACTGAGCATGCTCAGTGGACTAAAAATGGTGGTTGATTGAAAGAGGTCAAGAGTGAAATGGAAAAACCAGGAGAAATGGGAAATGAAGTACCCTGAGGAGGAGCATTCTACACTGCGACATTTTGTTGCAAACTCCACTTGTTCTATTTTGAAATGGATGATTTTGGCTCTTCGGTCATGAAACTAAATATGTAGGTCTGCCCTGGCTTTTAAGCAAATCCTCTAAAATATTTTCTTTATTAAAAAAAGACTTGCTTTGGATTTGGTGTTATGTACTAGCTAGGAGAATGGTGCTCTTTGGTTGGGGGCGTGTTGTTAGCTCGCCAACAAATAGAGCACAGACACAGTCCAGTGAAGGTGGGTTGTTGCTGCCCTTGCAAGTTGGTGGACCTGTTAGAATTACCTTTCTCCACTCACTGATGGCTATAGATCAGTGGTTCCCAATTAGGGGTCAGGGGACCCCTGGGGATCCACAGAATGCACCCAGGGGGTCCCCCATCCCAATGTGGGGGGCAAGTTGGCGCCCCTAATGTGCATCTTCGCTGGCAGCCCCACTGATGGCAGCTTAATGCACCCCCCATCCCCATTACCTCCCACTCAAATCACGCAGTGGAGGAGACCCCACTTCCTCTCCTCTCCCCACCCACCAGATCTCTGCGGCTTCTCCTTCTCTCATGCCCACGCCTGATCTCCAGTTTCAGCCATCATGATATATCGGAATATTGCGATGCTTAGCTGCTGATACATCACAATATTGAACCGGATACAGTGGTACCTCGGGTTAAGTACTTAATTCGTTCTGGAGGTCCGTTCTTAACCTGAAACTGTTCTTAACCTGAAGCACCACTTTAGCTAATGGGGCCTCCTCCTGCTGCTGCGCCGCCGGAGCACAATTTCTTTTCTCATCCTGAAGCAAAGTTCTTAACCCGAGGTACTATTTCTGGGTTAGCGGAGTCTGTAACCTGAAGTGTATGTAACCCGAGGTACCACTGTATCTCTCAGCCCTAGTCTGGTTTTTTTATTATACCTAAAATCCTTCGCTGTAGTGATAAAGTGGGATATCAAATCCAAACTCTTCTTCTTCTTTTCTGGCTTTCTGTGATTGCCCTGCAGGCAGGGCTGTATCCAGGAATTTTGTATTATTGGGGCCCCTGAAATAACTGTGTGTGTAGAATTTTCTTTGTGCATGTTGTTGTTGTTTAGTCAATTAGTCGTGTCCGACTCTTCGTGACCCCGTGGACCAGCGCACGCCAGGCACTCCTGTTTTCTACTGCCTCCTGGAATTTCATCAAATTCATGTTGGTCGCTTCTATAACACTGTCCAACCATCTCGTCCTCTGTCATCCCCTTCTCCTTGTGCCCTCAATTGTTCCCAACATCTGAGTTTTTTTCCAGAGAGTCTTCTCTTCTCATGCGGTGGCCAAAGTATTGGAGCCTCAGCTTCAGGATCTGTCCTTCCAGTGAGCTCTCATATGCAGTGAGTTGTGCATATTACATGATGCTATAACATACCAGCTCACACACAAGAAAATATATAATGTAATAGCAGATCTATTATTATATAATAGAAACATTCCCCCCCCCCCAAATCAGTCCCCCCCAAATCATGCCCAAATAACTTATTGTTAAATTAGTTCTCAGTCAATTCCCTCCCCCTGCTCTTTCTGTCACCCAGGATCATGCAATCACATAGATACTCTTTCCCTCCGTACCATCATCCAAACACACATGTGTTCAATAATATATACCACCCTCACTGATTAATTTCTAGGCTCTTTGAAGGGAATTGTGCTCCTTTTGGACAGATCCTGGAAGGTGAGCCAGACACCATTCCTTAATTTCACAGTTGCTCACCAGGGCATACATAAAATTCTTAGTAAAATGTCATGTGAGCTACATGACTGGAATATTCTTTTTCTGGATAGTATGAAGGCTCTGTTTAGTTGCAAACAGATATGTTTTATGAGCAACCAATTAGTATGCATGCTTTTCTGGGCATACATGAAAGATGGAAATTTGATTTTGATACAATTATTCTAAAACTATCCCTTTTTCTTTGTCATTTAAAAGAATGATCCCTAGCTAGCAGGACCAGTGGTCAGGGATGGTGGGAATTGTAGTCTCAAAACATCTGGAGGGCCGAGGTTGAAGAAGCTTGGAATATACTCTTGGTGGTATAGAACTGATAGAATTATTTCCTCGGGCCTCCTCGGTTTAGACTGAGGATGTCCGTTAAAACCACATTTGAAGGAAATATGATTGCTGCCCCCTCTGGACTCAACACAATGTTTTGTTGGAGTCTGTTGCTGTTGTTGTGATTTTGCAATTTTTTTAAGAACTGAATTTGTGGTTTGAAAAACCAAGTTTTAAATAGCTTAATTGCATGGTTTGGATTTCACACTTTTAATTGTTGCTGAAGCATGTTGGGGATATAAATTGAAATAATAAATAACTATAAGTTATTCCAAAAGGATCTTTTCAAATGGTTAACAAAATGGGAATTGTGATGCAATGTAGGTAAGTGTAAAGCATGGGCGTAGCTAAGGGATCCAGAAAATTTTTTGAAAAGCAGAAGCCCAGTAATGTCTGTAATGCCCCTTAAAAAAGCTTAAAAACTTTGGGAAGATCCCCTAAAAAAAGCTCAGCAGCCTAGGCTGCCCCCCCCCACTTGCCCAATCTCTATCTTGCTCACCAGAGTTGTGACTAGATCCTTTTATATTTCGGGTGATGGACCAGATAAGACTCAATGGCTCTAGTCTCGAAGCCCCTTGCACAATACATTTCCCCCCCTTGTGCAAGTGGGAGGGGTGTTGCCAACTTCTGCTAGTTCCTGTTCCCCTCCCAGCCAGTGGTATAGTTACATAATTTTAGACTCCAGGTTTAAAGACCGTAGCACCTGCTTTCCCATTTTTGGATGGTAATATGTATTAATTCACTTACTTCAAAATGTAGTAAGCGGGATGGGATGGGCTGCATTCTGGAGCTTACCAGTTCGGCCAATTCTGCCTGAGTGGGATTTGCAGGTTCAGCTGATGGCAGTGTTTGCCAACCCAGCTGGGATTGGCTGCTCTTGGGAACCCCACTTTGGCAGGCCTTTGCAGCCAGGCTTGTGTTCAAATCAGGTTGCGAGGGAAGGAAGGAAAGAATTAAGAGTGCACTTAGTGCGGTCCTGATTCACTTTTAAAAAATAAAATAAAATCAGATGGTGATTGAATATTGGGCTGCCTCACTCACCTTTCAAAATAGCCCAGGGGGGTGGGGAGCTCAGGATCCAGCCCCCTGGAAAGATCCTCTTCCCCATTCCTGGTTTAAGCAAAACTGAGCTAGATAATTGACAAATGTTGGTAGCTCAACATGGTGGCACAGCGTAAGGAACATTGTCTTACAAAAAACAATTACCTGGCATGTTAGATTCTTATCTAGAAAAACTAAACTGGACTCTTCCTTGGGAGTGGGGTGGGACTTTGGCTCTTATATTAATGATGAAAATCTGTACCAATTTCTTTTTCCAGCCTCATTGGACATATTGAAGCTTCGATACATATACTGAAGTTGGTTTATTTTATCCTAATGTTGTTGTTTTTCTTGCATAATGAAGAGATTGCATCTATTTATGCTATATTTTGTAACGTACATTTTGTTTATTTTCCTGATCACTTACTTTGATCTCAACCCTGGTTCTGTCTTGGTTTTTCGTTCATCTGTTACTAAGGTAGATGAACCAGTGGTATGACTCAGTACAATAGTGCTGGAAGATATTTGTGTGGTGATGCAATAAGTTTTGTTTCCCTTCCTAGGTCTAGAGGAATGTTAATTGTGTATCATTCTGTCTTTCTTGAGCATGCATATATATATATATATATATATATCACATTGAAATTAGCTTGAAGGAATTTTGATTAATTATATTCCTGTAAGCCTGTTATTTAAAGCACAGATTTTTATCGCTGATTTTTGTGTGAATTGAATCAAACATCTAAGCAAGCGTGATAGATCAAACTTTGGTCTGATGTTGTTAGAAGATAGTATTATCCAAAATCTACACACTACTGAGCTGCTTCTTGTCTTGGCAGAAAGCTGTGCCTCTAAGAGATTATCAAGAAGGCAACCTGTCTTGCTAGGTGGTTTGAGCTCTATTACCGTGTATTTTTGCATCTTTTAAATGAAATCTCCTGAAACTCATATCTGAAGTTTTTGGAATGACGAGCAATTGTTCTGTTTGTTTCATCATGTTTCCGCTGGCTTGTTTGACTGAGTGTTCATAGCTATGCTTTGTGTCACTGATGGGGATGTTTTAGTAATTAACATTAATTAAACAGACTTAGTTGCCTTTAGGGGCTCTCTGGCTCATGATACTGCCAAATAGTTTATGCAGTAAACAAAAATCTTATGTTTTAGGATTCTAGGGAAGCTTGACTTAGTTAGTGAGAAACTAGTTTCGGCACAGGTGAGGTGGCCAAAGTAGAATTCAAGCTTTAGCAAAATGCAGCCTTTAAAAGCATTGATTTAGTTAAATAAATTGTTTAAATTGTTATTAAGGAAATGATTATTTTTCTCCTTCCAATAAAGTGCAGCAGAAAAGTTGTCCAAATGTAAACAGTTAACTTACTAAACCTCACAATAATTTCATAATTATCTGTCTATGTATTTCTAATAGTATAACCAAATCAGCAATTTTTGTTATAACTGTAAAAACTACTCTGAAAATTTATTATTCAAAAAAACGAAACCTTCACCTGGTTGTAAATATTAAGATTATACCAGCAGGAATGCCTTTCTGTAAAAAAGAAAGAAAGATTTAAATCAAGTCTTACTGACTAGTGATTTAAATTGTGATTTAAATCGATTTGATTTAAATCCAATCCACCTTGTTGGTGGGCAGTGCTGCAAAGGTGGGTGCAGAGGGGTAGGGAGGAAGTGGGCTGGGGTTTGTGGTCCGGATCAGGCCGGGTTCACAAAGAGGTTTGCTGTGGAACCTCATGGTGCTTGTTTAAAGTGAGCTCTGACTCTGGTTGGGGCCTACAGAACTTGCAGAAAAGAGAAACACTTCCTATTACTGGATTGGTGATGCATGCAAAAGTAAAGGTCAGAAAGTTGGGAAATTAATAGTATCGTCCCTGCTGACATTTCAGAGGGAGCGCTGGCTGGGGTGTGGCCCAGTCCAGTGTGTACGTTTTGTAGTGGATGTGTACTCTTTTATTTCATGCTTTCAGTTCAGGATGAGGAAGAGTTGCCAGTTTCTCCATCCCAACTTAACCATTCTTTGTTTACCATGCTAAGAAAAGGATTTTTTAAAAAATCAAAATGTTGTGGTTTTCCTACTTATTAAGTGAGACTGATTTGAATTAGAGCAAACATTTGCTATCATGTTTGTGGCTCCAGTATAACGCTAAGAAAGTCTTGAGTGCTCTTTAGAAGCAATCCCTGAAAGGCAGATAGGGTTTTTAGAGGTAAACAAATAAATTCCACATTATCCACAATATTGCCTGGCACTTCTCCCTAGCACTGCCCAAATCCCTCTATATATCTCCAGCAGCACATAACTCTTAAGAAGTAAAAGCCAGATTGCCATGGTTTATCCTTGTAATCAAGGAAATCCCAAACTTTTGCTTTTGGAAGCGGTTGGGATTGGGAAGCTAAGCCCCTCTTCAGAGGTTCTTGCCTTTTTCTATTCCCTGAACATCTGCAAAAATATGTGCTGACAGTAGGCAAGGAATCGTATTTGCAGGAAGAGCAGCGCTGTCAAAATATGACTAACTGCAATTCAAAATTAGGTTGCTGTAAGGACTTCAGGCAATGCATTGTGGTCGTGGCACAGGAGCACAAAAAGTTCTGGTTGCCATAGTAATTGTGTTGTGTGTGGTGGGTTATACCTGCTAGTTAGAATTACATATTGTAAATTTTATACAGGCACCAAAGTTGTACTTACTCCCATCTCAAATGATGAATCACTTGCACATGTGTGCTGGAATCCTCACATTTCTAGTTTAGCCAGTCATTCCTCATGGATTGCTTGTTTGCTTCTGTTGGCCTCTGTTGTTGCCTCCTTTAAGGGTTCATCTTTGGATGCCAAACTGATTACTGTAGTACCTGCTGTGGACAAGGAGAGCATGTTGCTGTTCAGGTTGTGATGAGGAAAGCTTGTGTGTGTGTGTTGACAAGAGTGAGCATAATTTATTAAATAGCATGGCATTCTCCTTTCAATGGCACCTTCTTTAATTGCCTTAGGCTAGAGCTGTCAAAAAGTTATTTCCTTTTTAAGGGCATTTCTACCTATTTCCAATCAGACTCTGAGTGTGTTTGATGCCATGTGAAGTCTGCAAAGACGAGGAGGTTAGGGGGCTGTGGAGACCTCTCTGAAAACAAGACCGTTCTGGTGGTGTTCACAATAAAATGGCTCTCCACATCCAAAGAGTCTACTTGCTCTGATACAGTGGTACCTCGGGTTACACATGCTTCAGGTTACAGATGCTTCAGGTTACAGACTCTGCTAACCCAGAAATAGTACCTCTGGTTAAGAACTTTGCTTCAGGATGAGAACAGAAATCGTGTGGCGGCGGCAGTGGGAAGCCCCATTAGCTAAAGTGGTACCTCAGGTTAAGAACAGTTTCAGGTTAAGAACGGACCTCCAGAATGAATTAAGTTCTTAATCCGAGGTACCACTGTACTCAAAAATGTTTGTGGGAATCGGTTTTCTATGACTCTGGAGATCTGGATGATGTTCCCTGCCTTCTCAAAGGATCTGGTAGTAGCTGGTCTTGGAAAATCACTTTGCCTTTATAACGTTGCTGCATTTGTCCTTTCATAAAGTGCCCTGAAAACTAATAAGACTACTGTACTGTGCTGGAGAATTATAAGAAGTGTTTTATTATTATTATTATTATTATTATTATTATGGAAGACATTTTCTTAGAAGAAAACTAGCTCCTTGTGTGAGGTGGTATATGTGTGCCTGTACGCACACACGCATGTATCCACACTCCCTGGTGCTTGTCTGGTTGGCTTTTCTATTGGTTTTGCTGGATTTGTGCCACACCACAAGCATGATTAGAATAATGATAATGAAACAGGGGCAGTGGGGGCTATTTTATAGACTCGGTTAATGGCCTGCAGGAAGGCAAGTCTGATTTGGTTTCTTATGCTGTAGATAAAATGAGGGGTGTTGTTTGGTCACCATCAGTACGTTTTTGAGATACCTGGCCACTCTTTTTTTAGATCCACTGACTATGAAGGGTAAGACAGCCATCCAATTTCTCTTCCTCTTGCCATCACCAGTTTGTTTGTCATAAAGGGCAAGATGAGAAGGTTTCAGTGGTCTACTTTAATGTAGAGGGACTACCTGCTGCATTCAAAGTCTGTTGCTTGGCATCACCCCTGCTAATCTCCCAGGCACTCTGAAACAGAACCATAGCCCAAATGGTCTAAGCAACACTGGGGAGGGGAAAGCAAATGGCCCATGAATGTCTTCAGAAATCAATGCAGCCTTTTGTTGTTGTTTAGTCGTTTAGTCATGTCCGACTCTTTGTGACCTCAAGGACCAGAGCACGCCAGGCACTCCTGTCTTCCACTGCCTCCCGCAGTTTGGTCAAACTCATGTTAGCTTCGGGAACACTGTCCAACCATCTTGTCCTCTGTCGTCCTCTTCTCCTTGTGCCCTCCATCTTTCCCAACATCAGGGTCTTTTCCAGGGAGTCTTCTCTTCTCATGAGGTGGCCAAAGTATTGGAGCCTCAGCTTCCTTAAGAATGGATAGGTTTGACCTTGCAGTCCATGGGACTCTCAAGAGTTTCCTCCAGCACCATAATTCAAAAGCATCAATTCTTTGGCGACCACCCTTCTTTATGGTCCAGCTCTCACTTCCATACATCACTACTAGGGAAACCATAGCTTTAACTATATGGGCCTTTGTCCGCAAGGTGATGTCTCTGTTTTTTAAGATGCTGTCTAAGTTTGTCATTGATTTTTCCCCAAGAAGCAGGTGCCTTTTAATTTCGTGACTGCAGCCTAGGCTAATTTAAAAGGAGTACAGTGGTACCTCAGGCTAAGAACTTAATTCGTTCTGGAGGTCCGTTCTTAACCTGAAACTGTTATTAACCTGAGGTACCACTTTAGCTAATGGGGCCTGGCGCCACCGTCGCGCGATTTCTGTTCTCATCCTGAAGCAAAGTTCTTAACCCGAGGTACTATTGCTGGGTTAGTGGAGTCTGTAACCTGAAGCGTCTGTAACCCAAGGTACCACTGTATAAACAAGGGAGGGGGAGAAGCAGTAAGTATGCACGGTCAAAAAGAAAATAAAACCCTAAACCAGAAGTTTGTTCTGTCTAATCCTATACTGTGCAAATCAGCATGGCAAAACTTATTCTTCTGGTGTGGTATTCAACAAAGTTTTACTCAAAGTAGACCTGTTGAAGTTAATGGACCTAGCTTAGTCATTATCACTTTCAGTGGGCATGAGCTGTGTAAAACGTAGTTGAATTGAGTTGGTTGAGGGACAAAGGGATACCATTATTTTTGGTCTTCTGTGCCCAGGTAGCTCTGAGTGATAGCAGGCTACCGGGTCTAGCCAGTTACAGGATAGGCACATTCTTCAAGGAAGGCGACTTAACTTTAGGCAATGGGGCTGTCAAAATGTTGAACTGTTGTTTTGTTGAGGTGGTTCAACTCCTCTGCCAGCCAGCAGCCTTGCCTCGGCTTGTGTATTAGATGGGGGCACGTGCAGACAGCATGGTGGGGTTGCACTGCCCACCTGACCTTTGGCCAGTCAGTGGCTGCTGACTGAGATGTCAATGCTCAGCACACTGCTAGTATTGCATCCAGGTTGGGAGAAAAATGGCTGTAGCATTGGAGCTGGCTTGGTTGTGGGGAGGGTTCAGTTCTCCCTTGGCGACGCACACCTTTAATCTGATTGGAATTAATTTTATAATGAAATGATTTTATAATGTTTTATCATTTTACTGTTGTTATCCGCTCTGAGCCCGGCTTCGGCTGGGGAGGGTGGGATATAAATAAAATTTATTATTACCGCCCTTCTTCCTGCATGCTTTATATGTGATTCCGAAAAATCTTACGCATCACTTGGGAAGACAGACGAACTAATATCAGTGTACTGGGTGAAGCAAAGATCACCAGTGTTGAAGCAATGATTCTTCAACATCAACTTCATTGGACTGGTAATGTTGTGCAGATGCCTAATGATTGTCTTCCAAAGCAACTACTCTATTCTGAACTTAAAAATGGAAAGCGTAATGCTGGTGGTCAACAAATAAGGTTTAAAGACTGTCTTAAGGCAAATTTAAAAAAATGTAGTATGAACACCGACGACTGGGATACACTGGCCTGCGAGCGCTCCAGTTGGAGAACAGCCTTTACAAAAGGTGTCATGGACTTTGAAGACACTTGAACTCAGAACGCAAGGGAGAAACGTGCTAAGAGGAAGGCACGCTAGGCAAATCCACACCGTGATCAACTCCCGCCTGGGAGCCAATGTCCCCACTGTGGAAGGACGTGTGGGTCCAGAATTGGCCTCCACAGTCACTTACGGACTCATTGTTAAAACCGTGTTTATGGAAGACAATCTTACTTGGCTACGAGTGATTGCCAAAGAAGAAGAAGTAGAAGAATATGTGACTGGGGCAGGCATTGTGACCAAACAAACATGGCTGGTTTGTCTAACACATAGCCCCTCCTCTCCCCAACCAGATATGCCCTGGTCCTTCCCCCAAAATTATCCAGAGTCTTGGGGAGAACCCCAGATCAAATTTAAG